TGCTGGACTCTCTCCGGTATGTCTGTGTCCCTCTTTGCATTGGGGAGCCCAAAACCAGACACAGTGCTCCAGCTGTGGCCTCACCAGTGCTGAGTAGAGGGGAAGGATCACCTCTGTCAACTGGGATACATTAGCCTTCTTTCCAAAAAGGGCACATTACTGGCTCATGTTCAACTTGCTGTCCACCAGGACCCCCAGGTTCTTTTCTGCAAAGCTGCTTTCCAGCTGGGTGGCCCCCAGCATGTACTGGCTCCTGGGGTTGTTCCTCCCCAGCTGCAGGACTTTGCACTTCCCCTTATTGGACTTCATGAGGTTCCTGTCAGCCCATTTCTCCAGCCTGTCATGGTCCCTCTGGATGCCATCCTCTGGATGGCAGCACAACCCTCTCTTGTATCAGCTTGTTCTCCCAGTTTTGTGTCACCCGCAAACTCGCTGAGGGTATACGCTGTCCCATCATCCAGATCATTATGGGAGATTAACAGGGAGATTAACAGGACTGGACCTAGTACTGACCCCTGCAGTACGCTTGCTAGTCACTGGCCTCCAACTAGACTTTGTTCCACTGGTCACCACCTTCCGGGCCTGGCCGTTCAGCCAGTTTTCAATCCACCTCACTGCTCATTCAGCCCATACATCAATAGCTTCTCTGTGGGGATCTCATGGGAGACAGTGTCTCCCATAAGGTAAACAATATCCACTGCTCTCCCCTCATCTACCAGGCCAATCATTTCATCTTAAAGTCTATGAAGTTGGTCAAGCATGATTTCCCCTTGGTGAAGCCACGCTGACTACTGATGATTTTCTTGTTGATGTGCCTGGTTTTGATGTACCTGATTTCCAGGTTTAGCTGCTCCATCACTTTCCCAGGGATCAAGGTGCGGTTGACAGGCCTTTCATTCCCTGGATCCTCCTTCTTGCCCTTCTTAAAGACAGAAGTGAGATTTGCTTTCCACCAGACTTCAGACACTTCCCCCAATCGCCATGATTGATCAAAGTTATTGAGAATAGCCTTGCAATGGTATCTTCCAGCTCCCACAGCACTTGTGGGTGCATCCCATCAGGGCCCATGGACTTATGTATGTCCAGTTTGCTTAAGTCTTCCCTGACCTGATCCTCTTCCAAGGGTACATCCTCCTTGCTCCAGACTTTCCCCTTGGTCTCTGGGCCCTGGGATTCTTAAAGGCCAGTGTTGCTAGTAAGATTGAGGCAAAGAAGTCAGTCAGTACCTCAACCTTTTCCATGTCCTGTGTAACCAGGTGCCCCACTTCATTTGGCAATGGGCCCACATTTTCCCTAGCCTTTCCCACCTATTTACTTATAGAAGCCCTTGTTATCTTTGACATCCCTGACCAGATGCAACTCCAGGTGAGCTTTAGCTTTTGTAACTTCAACCCTGGATGCTCGGACAACATCTTTGTGTTCCTCCCAACTTACCTGTCCTTGGTTACACCCTCTGGATGCTTCCTTTTTGTGTTTGAGTTTGGCCAGGAGTTCCTTGATCATCCACACAGACTTCCTGGCATTTTTGCCTGACTTCCTATTCACTGGGATGGACTGCTCTTGAGCCTGGAGGAGGTAAGCCTTAAATATTAACCAGCTTTCTTGGACCCCTCTTCCCTCCAGGGCCTTATCCCATGGGATGCTTCCAAGCAGACCTTTGAAGAGACTAAAGTCTGCTCTCCCAAAGTCCGGGGTTGAGAACTTGCTTTTTACCCTCCTCCATCTTCTCAGGATCCTGAACGCCACCATCTCATGGTCACTGCAGCCAAGGCTGCCTTTGACCTTCACAGTCCCAATAAGCCCCTTGTTGGCGAATACAAGGTCCAGCAGAGCACCTCTCCTTGTTGGCTCCTCTATCACTTGGCTCGGGAAGTTCTCACTGATGCACTCCAGGAACCTCCTGGATTGATTATGTCCTGCTGTGTTGTCCTGCCAGCAGATATCAGGGTGGTTGAAGTCCCCCGTTCTTTGGGCACTATTCTAGTGCTTCTCTTACCTCCTAAGAAAACATGGAACCTAGCATTTCTTTGTCTGTGGTTTTGGAAGAGGATGGCTTAAATCAAACCTTGCTTCTCTCAGTGTGCCTTACTAATGCTTTGAGCACCAATCAATCACAAATGGAAGCAGGAACATGTCTTCCCAGATGAAGTTGCTAATGAAAACAAGCAAGTTGCTTGCTTGCTTGACCTCGCGTCACACTGCAAGTTCAAAGCAGATTTGGGATCATTGAGTTTTTTCCCCCAGGCTGAGCAAACTTCTTGCACTGCTGCTGGGTAACAAGTAGACAGCGAATAGGGAGGAGAGGACAGTTAGGGCCCTGAAGTCTTACAGGCACAAGCAATGAGAGCAGGCTCTTAAATGAGCCTGCAGTGGGTGTTCTCAGTTTCACCGCAAACCTGTGGAATAGTGGAGCTGCTAGATTTCTGGGGAAAAAACAAGTCCTACACGCCTGGCGCACAGTGGAAAGAATCGTTGTAATAGACTAGACTCTAAGCCTGGTGGTATGAATTTGGTGTTGTTGAAACTGAAACAGTGGAAGTAATTGCAAACATCAACCCCGGCTATGATAGGTTGGAGTACGACGCAGGTAGTTATGGAAGCAGATATTTTGTGCTACGGTATCCTCAATTTCTACAGCTGTCCATTCAGTTCATTCCCCAAAATGGGAAACTGTATCCCACATAGAGCAACAAGAAGTTAGAAAAAATTGTCTTGTTTAATTTTTCAGTGGCACATGTTTTGCTGCTTGCTGTATAATACCCAGAACATCACAGGAGAACTAAGAAGCTTGGAAGAGGCTGTATGCTGTACTCAGTATCTCGCTTGAAGGTCTAAGGGCTGGGTCCTCCTTCTTGCTAGCTCTTGCCTTCACTTGCTAGTGCTTTTTGCTGAAGGCTTACTCTTCTGCTGCCAGTGTATTTCTTTGGGACAGCTGTTATGTCTGTCACTAGTTCATTTCAAAGCAGAATGCTAAACTGGTGGTGTTTCTGCTGCCCTTCCTGCGTTAGTAGTAGCATCCTTCCCTGGGCTGCTCTGGCAAGGCTTCTGGAGGCTTCTGGTCAGCCACCCTCCTGGAAGCTAGACCTGGCCCATTCTCTAGACAAGCTGTGGTGTCATCAAGCACGATGCAGAATTGGCCACCACGGTCTTGAGACTCATCACCTCAACTGTGTTGATGCAGCTATGGGTGTGGTGAAAGGAAAACTAAAGTGTCTCTGGGAAAAAAAGGCTATGGAATGGTTTTTTATATAACACAGTTATCTGAAGCAAAATCATGTCCTGTTGTCACCCTCAAGGCACTGCACTGAGCTTGGTTTGCCCTGGCTGTTTTGATCCCACAGTTAAGGAAAAAGAACAAACAAGGGTGCTTACTGAACTGAAAACAAGTAGCATATTTTAGTGGTTTATTCTGAAGACAGTTGTGCAGGAGTCTCAGCCCTAGCCAGCGGTAGGATTACTTTCTGTTCCTCCCCTTGACTCAGCCAAACTGTCCTACTGATAGAGCAAAGGCTCCCTGCTGGTCACATTTGTACAGCTCACTGATGAGCTCATTCAAGTAGAATTTGGAAAGACACTTCGCCTACAGAATTTTATTCCTGC